TATGGCAGAGGTTGCAGGCCCGTGCCTAGGTAGCTGTCCAGAGACTGCTTGTGTTAGCGTCTCTTTAGGCACGTCCCTCACAGGTGTGGCAGAAGAGTTAAAGGAGAGAATGCCAGCCTGGGCCAAAATGAAAAGGGAGAGTAAGGGAGAGCTGATTTTGGTAGACGTAGAGGTGTTTAGGAGTAGAGTAGGGGCCCTCATAGAGTCAGGGGCTACCCGTAGTTATATTAGCCGTAGGGCGCTGAAGAAGCTGAGGCTAGGACTAAAGGTCCARAAATTAGTAGACCCCATAGTCAGTGTCCTCGCAGACAACCGCACGATGCGCGTTGAGGACTATGTAGAGGGAGTCCAGGCGTACTTTCGCCTAGAGAAGGATGGGAAGGTGGAGAAAGTTCTCCATTCCCTGACTCTCCTCGTACAAGATGACCTTCCTTTTGATATAGTGTTGGGAATGGATTGGGGAGAGGCAGCAGGGGCCACACTTCATTTGAGAGAGCATGAGTGTAGGCTCCCTAGTCCGGCGGGCGAAGTTAAGACTGCCCGCTTGTTCCATGTGTCTAGTGTAGATAACACCTTGACACATTGTTGTCTCAGTGCTCCCGCATTCGCGCGATTAGTAAAGAAGGAGCAGTTAGAAGACCAGGTCTTTGTAGTATATGTCAGACCTGTCACTAAGGCCCAGGAAAAGGATAGCTCCACAGATCCAACAATTGCCAAACTGCAGAATTTAAAGACTTGACTGAGTCGCCGACAGGAGTAGTGTCGCGACCCATTCAGCACAGGATAGAGATAGAGCCTGGCAGTAGAACTCCTAAGGGTGCAGTCTACAGGATGTCCCCTAGAGAGTTAGAGGAGCTTCACAAGCAATTAGACGAACTCCTTGAGAAAGGTTGGATCAGGCCCAGCTCGTCTCCTTTTGGAGCACCCGTTTTGTTTGTCCCCAAAAAGGAAGGAGAGCTGAGAATGTGTATAGACTATAGGGGTTTGAATGCGATCACCGTGAAGAATGTTGAGCCGCTGCCCAGGATAGACGATCTTTTAGATCGGGTGCTAGGTTGTAAGTATTTCTCCAAGATAGACTTGAAATCCGGATATCATCAGATAGAAGTCCATCCTGATGATCAGTACAAGACTGCATTCCGGACTAGATATGGGCATTATGAGTTTATAGTGATTCCCTTTGGACTGACCAACGCGCCAGCTACTTTTCAGCGTTGTATGAATGACTTGTTTAGACCATGGTTAGATAAATTTGTAGTAGTCTACTTAGATGATATCCTAGTCTTTAGTAAGACCCTCCAGGAGCACCAGGGTCATCTGAGGCAGGTCTTGGAGAAGCTTAGAGAGGCTAACTTCAAGATCAACGCGAAAAAGTGCGAGTGGGCCAAAACGCAAGCCTTATGCTTGGGCCACGTGTTGGACGAAGATGGCATTAAGCCAGAGGACAGCAAGATCGCGGTGATCAGAGATTGGCCGACGCCCCGCACATTGACAGAGTTGCGATCGTTCCTAGGCTTAGCTAACTACTACAGGAAGTTCGTGAGGAACTTCTCCACTATCGCCGCTCCCTTGCGCAGGTTGTTGAAGAAAGAGACAATATGGCAATGGGATAAAGACTGTACGTCTGCGCTCAAAAAGTTAAAGCGCGCGTTAATAGAGTATCCTATCCTCAAGGTTGCAGACCCGTCCTTGTCATTTGTCGTCACCACGGATGCGAGTCAGTATAGGATAGGCGCCGTGTTGCAACAAGATGACGTAGAGTTCATGTCCGCGAGGATGCCTTGTGAGAAAGTCGCTACCTCCACGTACGAAAGAGAAGTCTACGCCCTCAGGCAGGCTTTAGACCATTGGAAGAACTACCTGCTTGGGAGGCACTTGAAAGTCTACTCGGACCATGAAACACTTAGATGGTTGAAGACCCAGGCCAAGATGACACCTAAGTTGACCAGGTGGGCCGCAGAGATAGACCAATTCGACTTCGAGCTCAAGCCAGTGAAGGGCAAGTACAATGTAGTGGCGGATGCTCTAAGTAGGAGATCAGACTACTTTGGAGCCGTTACATTATCTGGATA